GTGTCTGTGTGTCTGGACGTTGTCATCCACAAGCGCAGTCCACATCCTCGCACCCCGTCGTACTGGAATGGAGCCTCCAAAGAAGACTGAGCGACCACCAGGACGGGAGGTGGGAGTACTACATCCTGGCCTGGGAAGGTGACTGGCGTATCGAATGGAACAGGGAAGAACTTAACTGAAGGACTTCACTCTCCTGATCTCCCCGCACTCCGCCATCACAGGGCGCCTCAGCGACGCGAGGCCTATCTGGCCCCCCTCCCCAGGAGAACTCCAGGATGCCATGCCAAGGAACAGGTGCCCCACAAACCGCATTATCGTTGCCATCGATGCCAAGACAGGGCGCGACCTACACCCCAAGGATTCCCCCCGCGTGGCTCCAGCTACAGGCGAGAGTTGGCACCGAGTAGACAAGAGTCCAGGCCAAATGCAATCCTACAGGGTGTGGACAGCAACACAACGGCTCTTCATGCTTGAGTCCCAACCTGACGACATGACCGGAATCCCCATCCAAATCATTCCATACGCGATGGCCTTCCGCGCCGCCTCCCCAGAGGACAAGGCTAACAACAACTCCGCCAGCCACCTGGCGGACATGGGAGGCCTACTACGCGCGCGCGCAGCCGCCACACTCAACGCGCGAGCCCCCGACCTGGACGGGTACACACCACCCCCAGGGGCCCAGCCCATCACTGACGCTGAAGTGGTCGAGTGGCCCAGGAGCGCATTCCAGAGGCCACTGCCCTCCCCCTGCCGGCAGACGGCTGAGGACACTGCTATAAGAGGCACGGCCTGAACGAGCCCCAGTCCCGCGTCCTCCTCATGCCCCTAGACGCGACGGTGGTCCCGGCGCGCGGCCCCCACGGCACGGGCAAGACCAAGGCCGTGGCAGCGCGAATCGACGTTTGGATGGGCAGCACCCCAGAGGGCTGGACGGTCGGGCTGGTCTCGGGCTCCAACAATGGAGCCGACACGCCGGCCAAATGTTACCTCACCGACGCTCACCGGGCTGGCCAATTGAACGAGGCAGGCTGCTTCCCGGTCTCCGACTCGCCCACCCCGATAAGGTCGCCAACCCCGAAGCCCGAGAGCCCACCCTCCAATTTCACAGCAAGACGCGTGGCGCGGCCATCGGCGACATCGGTATCAGGGCGCTAACGTGCGCGAGGAAGCAGGCTCTGGAAAAGACTCGCCTCGTCCTCGCCGCGCTCGAAACAGGCGCGGAACTGGGCGCCCATGACAACCCCGAGCTGCAGATCATCATCCTTGACGAGGCCGGACAGTCCACCGAGCCACTGGCCGCCATCTCTATTTCACCCGCGGCGCACAGCGGAGGGCGCTTGGTGTCATGTGGCAACGAGAACCAGCTACGTCCCACAGTGCTGTCCGCCCATGCTTATTCTTTGGGCCTTAGCATTTCCACACTCGAGCGCTTTCACGACTCCCTTGGACCCTCGCCACAGCACGACGTGCTGCTCAGCAAATGCTATCGCGTGCACAACCGCATCCTCCAATGGCCGTCTGCCACCTACTATTAAGGCGCGCTGCGCTCTGGCATGACCGACGCATTCGCACAGAGACCACCCATCCGTGGGATCCCCTCGAGGCCTGCCGACCCAGTTCATGCGCCCCCCAAGGCGCCCCCAAATGATGGCGGCCCTGACGACCCTATCGGCATTGGGACTCACGGTTCCCGCAACGCCGAACACGGAGCTCAACCGGGGGACTGTATTCGGGTCCTCTTGGTCCACGAGAAAGCTGCCGAGCTGCCACTCGCCCTCGTTGAAGGCACAGACAACGGAAGAGGCTAACGTCTGCGACATCGTTAAGTCCGTGGATGGGCATCTACTACAGACAGGCAGGCGCGCACAGAGTGTCTGCGGGTGCCGTGCACAAGTGGCCTCGATCAAAGTCGTATGGCCGATCGATCGCGCCGCCTTCTTCAGCGCCTACCAGGAGAGGGGCAAAGCAAGGGTAAGGCCGCTGGTCGGAGCACACCAGCGCAGTCCAGAGCCTCCACACCCCAGGTGCGCCCTGCCAAAGGCGCGCCGAAAGGCAGTTTCCCCCCCCTCGGGCTCTGTATTCAAGCGCGCTCCCGACACCCAACTCAACGGCCTCCAGCTTCCCTTCAGCGGCATCGAAGCGAGGTGCCCTCGCTTGGTCGACAGGAGCCTCATCAGCGTGTCCACCATCGACGGTCGCGAAGGTGACGAGGCCAATCTGGTGATCCCCTGCACCACCCGTGCGAACTCCACTGGGCAGTGGGGCTGGATCGACGACCCCCATCGCATGAATGTGGCCTTTACAACGGCGCATGGAGGAGTAGTTGTCATGCCAAATGCCCGGATGGCCGCTGCATCCACCGAACCCCAACTACGCCTCCTTGCGGAACAGGCGGAAGTCACCGGGCTCTGGACCAGCTTCGAGGGCGCCCCAGGCAACCGCAGCACGCTCAATGAATATGTCAGCTTCTCGCCCGCCAAGGTACGAAAGGCCCAGGCGCGCGCGCTCCGCCCCCCCTCCCCCCCACGACGAACAAGCTCGGCTCTCCGCTGAGCAAGAGCGGCGCAGCGACTATAGGAAGTCCCAACGACTCGCCGAACTGCGGGCCCTATGCTTCCAGACGCTGCATGACTCCCCGCTCCCTCCAAGGCACAGCTGGGGTAGGCTTAGCGAGGAACTGCTGGAAACGGCCACGGCGGTCCTGGACGATGCAGCCCTGACACTGGCGCTGTGCGATGTGCACAGGCTTCACCCCCACATGTATGGCCCAGAGGACTCGCCGACAGACCTCTACGAGCAGTGCCGGAAGTTGGTCAGGCACGATGGCTACCAAGACGACCACGAACTGGGCATTGACGCCTCCAACCCGTGTACACCGCGGCCTAGGCAGGCCACGTGTTTGGGCTCCAACCCAGCACACCGAGCCATCGAAAGAGACCGCCCCCCCCCTTCCTCGGGAGTGAGATGCGAAACCCGCTGGAAATGGCGCGCTGACCACCCCCCCAAGGGCACGACCAGACACCCCCCTGCTGTATGGAGCGCGAGCACATGTGAGTGCACTCGCCACTAGGGCGCACCTACTCTACAGCACCTAGCGGCACTCACCGACCAGCTGGAGCGGCCCCTCGAAGGACCCTCCAGCCTGCTTAAAGATAGCAGCGGGGCCCCCCTTCAGCGCGCAAGAGCGAACACCACCCTGGTTCTGATGCCCCTCCTCATCAGGGAGCCCAAGCATCATTTGGCACCCAACGGAAGCCCCGGCCGCATTGGCGACATCCTCGAGGCCACACTGGGCATCTGCCTCCCCTACCACCACGCGCGCCTGCCAGTGCCGGACAGCTTTGGCCAGGCTCGCAACTTGTGGACGCTGACTCTCGCAGGATACACGGGCGCCTGGAGGCTTTCATCAAGGCGCGCTCCAAGCTGGTGACCGTGGCGCATCGCCATCCCAACGTCTAGGGGGATCAGGCCGGCGTGCAATGATGGAGGGGCCTCTGAAGCCCACTCTGGAGGCCCTGGCCCAGCTCGCAGCCCCCGCTGACCTCTCCTGCCCGCAGGCCCACAGCTGCGCTGCGCGCGCCCTCTCGCAGGCTCCGCATGGGTCCAATGTGGGCCTCCTCCCAGAAGGCCACCTGGCCGCCAACCCAGTGCCGGGGGGGTGGGCCGTCGGGGGCGGGAAAGAACCTGTTCGCTGCTCCCCCGACCGGCGCCCCGCCTGGAGCCGTGACCCCCCCCCAGCATCGGCCTGGAAGTCGATCGTTTCCAGCCGAACGAGGGGCCCCCGCAAAAACTGCGACCGGCGTGGGAGAGGCCCCTTCAACCCGCAAAAGGACTCCGGGTGGATTCCGCAGTCAGGAAGATGGTTGCTGCAAGCCGCCTGCAGTTTTACCGCCGAAGCGTGGATTGTCGGCGGCACTGCCCTGGGCGCCGGCACGCTCCCCCATTTGGCGTGGCCCATCCTGCTGCTTCCCCCCCGGCTAGCGTTTGCTGCACTTGGCGCATCGCTGGGTCGTCGCCGTTCCGCCTCCACGCCCTGCGCCTCGTAGGCCCCTTGGTCTCGGCGCCTCCGCCCGCCCCTCGAGCTGGTCTGCTCGCCCGCCATGCACTGGCGCCCTCAGCTCCGCGCCGCTCCCCGGGAGTGGCTCCGATTCTGGGTTGTCATCCCCCGTTGCTCGCTGGGCTACGGTGGCGCCTGTTTGGGACCCCAGGTCTCGGCGCTTTGGCTCACCCCTGGGACCGCGCACACCGGTTCACTGGGGGCGGGTCTCTGATTCGGATGTGGTGCTCCCCCACTGGCCGCCCAGCATGGCTGGGCTGCCTTCCCCCCCCAGCTTCAGCCCAGTGCAGATCAGTGCAGCCCAGTGCTGGCGCTGGTTCCCTCCCTAGGCGCTTCCCCTGCCGCAGCCAGCGACTTGCCTGAGTGGGCGCGGCTTCCTCTCCCCCTGTCGCGCCAGGGCTTTTCCTCCTCCTTTGCGCATCGCAGCTTTAATTTGCATACAGCGTGTCCCCTGTTGCTTGCCCGCCGGAGCAGTCGCCCTCTGCTCAGCCGCCGACGCAAAAAAAGTCTGTGTGTGCGCGTGCGCGCGTCTATGTGTCTGTGTGTGTGAGTCTGTGTGTGTGTGCGTGTGTGCCCCTCCCTCTCTCTAGGCGCCTGCCGGAGGTAGGCCGGAGGGTACTGGCCGCAGTGCACGGCGCAAGGCGGCGGCCGGGACCTGTCGAGGCTGAGGTACCGGTTGGAGAAATCCCTCGTGGTGGAGTTCAGCAGGTTGATGACGAGGGCCTCTCCGACGTATAGAGAGAAGCCCTCATAGCAAAACGCCCCCCACTGAAAACAACCCGGGACCAGACCCAGCGGTCGCAACGATAATCGACTCGGCAGGGTGGGGGTTCTATCAACTTCCGAGCCTCCAGTATGTGGGCGTCAGTCGGAAGCTGCAGCTCCGGTCGCCAGTCGTCGGACCGCATGGCCGCCGCGATGCCCCGCCGGTTCCACTCGCGGAGCCTCTCGAGCACGTGCTGCCGCTGGTGCGCGGCGTCAAACATCGGCGGCCGGAGGTAGGACTCCAGCTCCTGTCGCTCCCTCCACATCTGCTGCGCGCGGGCGTCGGCGCAGAAGGGGGCGGGCAGGTTGGGGCTGAACACGCTCAGCACGCGACCCTGGTTGGGTGCTCGTGGACAGGGGACGTACGGGGGGTGAAGAAGCGAACGCAGGTCCTGCATCTCTTGGGCCCTCGGTGGCAGTTTGGAGGTACATGGTGAAGAAGCGCACACGGTTCCTGCAAGTCGGGGGCCCGCAGTGGCAATTTGGAGGCCGCTGTTGGGCCCCTTCAGCTTGAGGAGGCCACTTCCCTGCAATCCTCGATCCCCCCCAACGTCGATTGCCCCCTCGTTGCCGTCCGCCCGACCTGGGTGAACTGCGCGAGGCCGCAGCCGCTCTGTGAGTCCGCACTCAGCCTCCAACCCTGGGCCGCGAGCGCCTGCTGCCACTCGAGGTCGCTCATGTCCAGCCTCTGCAGCAGGTGCGACAGGACGTGCTGGTGCAGCTGCACCAGCAGCGCGGAGGACCACCGGCGCATCTGGGGGCCGAAGCTTGCATAGGCGTCGGGCTCTGGCGCGCTCCCCGATGTGTCCATCGGCACGGCGCCCGCCGCCCCTGGCGCCTGGGACCAGCCCGAGAGCCCAAAGAGCGGCGGGGCAGCGTCGGCTCTGGGGGCGCCCCACTGCCAGGGCGCGGCCTGGGGTGCGACGCCCTGGCCGCCGGGGAACGGCGGGGGGGCGGCGGCGCCAGCCGCGGGCCCGACGTGCCAGGGCGCCGCCTGGGCAGCTCCCAGGGCGGCGCCGAAGAGCCCGGGCGCAGGGCCGCCCTGTCCCAGGGCTGGCTCGGTGCCGGCGCCGCCGCAGCCGCCCCACTGCCAGGGGGCGGCACGGCCCTCTGGCGCCTGGCAGGGCGCGCCGCCCTGAGCGGCGAAGGCGCCGCCGTCGGTGGGACCCCTGGGCCAGGCGCAGATCGCTAGCACCGCCACGGCGACCCCGACGAGGGAGAGGTCCAGGCCCCTCGGCTGCCCGTCGAGCTGGTCTCCAACGCCGACCCCGCCTGGGGGAAACTGTAGGGGCAAGGGGGGGGGGGGCCGGCTCAGGGAGGGAAAGGAAACATCGCGGATAGGTCGGCGATAAGGCCCCGATCGTAAATCCGCACGTTCCTGGGCGGCGGGGCGGGCTATCGGGCCCCCAACGGCGATGAATGGGCGATCAGGGGTCGATGAATCCCTTCCTGAACCTATCCCACCCCCAACGTTGCCTCCTGGTTTTCTGGTTTAAACTTGGCTCTCAGGCGACCGTTCGGGACGATCTGGGCATCCCTGGAACGCTCTCGGCGAGGGGCGGCTGCTGAAGAGCATCCCGAGGCTAAAAACTGGTGGGGAACTACGAAAGAGTCCGAACCTAGAACTTGTAGTCCCCTAGCGTTGCCCCTGACCGCCAGGGTCCCGCGCGTAGTCGTCCAAGTACCAGTCGGCGAGCCTGTCCAGCCCGCCCCAGCGGCGCCGGCCCTCCTCCAGCCAGGGGTCGGCGCGGCCGCGTGGGAAGTCATAGCTCTCGGACCTCGGCAGGGGCGGGAGGGGCGGACATAGCCAGTGGGGCGGGCAATGCGGCAGTCGCCAGGGAGTCTCGTCGAAGGCATGGGGGATCGGATCCCCTGGACACAGGTAGACCCTGACGTTCCAGAGTGCGGCCATATAGGCCTCCGTTCCTAAAGACCGACCTGGAGGAACCTAACATTGTATGAACATAACTTCTCGGAGGTCCGCACGGATTTCTTGGATCGGCGCTGGCCTTCTGCGGCTCTTTCGACTTTGTGGACTGATCAAAGACCCGACTGGACTTTGGATACAGAGGTCCTGGTACTATGTCTCTGCCCTCCCGAAGGTCAGGGCAGTGACCCCCCCCTCCCCCGTGGGCGACGAGATCTATAAAAATCCACCGCCGCTGGCCAGGCCCATCCTGGGCCCTGGAAAAGTGCTGACGCCCCCCCGGGCTTGGCCAGGGAGGCGTGCACACCGCTCCTGGGGCCAGCATGGGCCTGGTCAGCGGCGGTGGATATGTCTGTAGATCTCGCCGCTCCCACCTGGGGCTCCCCGCCCAGCACCCAAATATTGCAGCCGCCGAAGACCACCCAGCGCCCGCCGCGCCGGCGCGGTCGCGCGGCGGGCCCGGCTGCGCCGTTGGGCCAGGCGCGCCCGCCGCCCACGCGTCCGCGGCCGCGCCCGCCGCGCCCTGGGCGGCCGCGGCCCAGTCGGGCCAGCGCGGGGGCCACCAGCCGTCCGCCGCCCCGGCAGCGAGCGGCCCAACGCCGCCCAGCGATGCCAGCAGCCCGACGACCGTCAGGAAGGTCCCGGCCAGGCAGCCGCACCTGTGCGGAGAGGCGGCGGATGCGCGCCACCGCTGGCCCATGGCCAGGGCCGTCCTGGGCCCTCTGGGGTGGTGTGCGTGAGGCCCCCTGGCCTCGGCCACAAAGGTCTATGGCGGGTTCCAGAAACTCTGAATCTCACAACCTGGCCATCTCTTGGGAGGCCGACGTTACTTTCGCCGGCTTCCGCCGGCCTTACGGCTTTCGCCAGCGGGGCTGGCCCCGTTGTACGTCAGCCGCCTTCCGCCGAGGAAGCGATGGCAACTCCTTCGATTGTCGAACTAACGACGTGCACCCCTGGAGGTCTCGACCCCATCCCGCGGACCAGCTTCTCATCCTGAACCATTATTTGGTGGCCCCAGGGCTCAGCGAGGCCCCGAGAGGCCGAACACGGCCGAAAACCTCCCGCCCCGATTCCTCCACGACGCGAGTGTGTGTGTGTGTACGGGTATGGCCCTGGCCCGGGACGGCTGTGCACAGCTGCCTCCCGCGGGGGCACCGCCCCAAGACGCCCTGGCGGGACCACAGGTCCTCCTGCGCCAGGGCCTCGTCGCGAAGCTCCGGGCTCTCGTACCTCCCGACCATCCCGGGGGGTCCGTGGCCCGGAGGCAGCGCCCCAGGGTCCGGGGGTGGCCTCGGACGGCTCGAGCCGATGCGGCCACGATGTGGACGTGCAGTCGGCACTGGCTGCAAGGGACGCCAGAGAGGACCCGAGTGTTTCGACCGAGGGCGGCCCGTGCTTCCAGACGTGGAAAGGACTGCGTGCCGCAGCGGTGTGTCACACCGCTTTGGGGGCTAGAACGGGCGAGCGATTGATGCACCGACGCGGTGGGAACGACACACACGCAGGACATGAATCTCAGATGACAGGACGCAAGGGTGCCCATGATGATGACGATGCTGATGGTGATGACGATGAAGATGGTGATGGAGATTATGCTGATGATGATGGTGACGATGATGCTGATGATGACGATGATGATGATGACGCTGATAATGATGCTGATGATGCTGATGATGATGCTGATGAATATAATGATGATGATGATGCTGATAATGATGATGCTGATGATGATGGCAATGCAGATGATGATGATGAAGAAGATGATGATGATGTTGATGATGCTGGTGGTGGTGATGGTGCTTATGATGATGATGGTGACAATGAGTTCGGTGGTGATAGTGGTGATGGCGATTGTGATGAGAATGAGGATTACGAGGATTACTATGATGATGAGGAGGATGATGATGATGATGACGATGACGATGACGATGACGATGATGATGATGATGATGATGTTGATGATGATGATGATGATGATGATGATGTTGATGATGATGATGATGATGATGTTACAGGGCCGACCTACCAACAGGGGGGGCACGACTGTATTAGGGGAGGCGGGGAGGAAGCCGACACGAGGGGGGGAGGGGCCACAAGGTGCCTTTGCAACCTGTGTGCTCGAGGCGACCAAAGGCACTCCGAATGCCGCCCGCCGTTGTTGCCGAGCCTTCTTTCGAAGCTGACCCACGTTGGCCAACCATGCCCGCCTTGACACCGGTGGTCCTCACGTCAGCAGTGCAGCAAAACGACGACGCCCCTGGCGAGCTGTGGAACTTTTTCTGGCGCTGGTTGATGCGTGGCGAAGGTCCAGCACTCGAGCCAATCAGCACGGGGGATGGAGACGCGCAGCACGTCTTGGGCGAACACATGTGAGACAGTGTCTGCACGTCGACCCGAACTTAGGAAGACGCGTAGGTCCCTACAGGCCAGCCAACCCCCCGGCATTGTGTCCACGAGCTTCCTGACGCTCGAAGAGGCCGTTCTACCACAAATCGGAACAACTTCTCTGCCACAAAAAATAAACGAGAGACGGGAGGGAGAGGCCAACTCCATGCCAAAGACCATGCCGGAGCTACGTGGCGCGGACCGTGATGGAATGGACCCCTCCATGCAGGGCTGGTGGTGATGACGTCGCGAGTGACACAGGTGCCCTGCTCAGCCGAACAAAAGCCCCATGTTCACACTTTCGTCTCAGGATTCACTGCGCAATGCCCGAAAGGCATGCGACGATGCACCACAATCAACAACCGGTTCCTTCAAATGCAGTGTACGAGTGACGGATAATGCTTCAACGATCGCGGGGTCATTATACCACAAACGTGTTTCGGAGATTCGTCTTCCCAATGGTACTACACTGAATTTCCAGCGAGATCTTGACGGTCCGACAAGGGCTACGTTAAAAGAGCCAGCCTGACTTCTTCGACCACTGCTTTAATCGGCTTGCACGATTGTTGGCGTGGTTTCGTCCAGAACCAAGCCAGGGCTAGAGACCCCACTGCCAAACTGTGAGCGCGCTGGTATACCAGATCTCCTGGCCCGCATCGCCTTCACCGAATTCTCATTGTTTGTACGGCGTTCGAATTTGCAAAGCAATGCCAGTGTGTAATATCCGCCTGCAGGACTCACCATGGCTCCGAATGTCCTGGCCAGAGCTGGCTGCCTCTTCGCAGGAGCAGGATCGACCGCGGGCACCTCTGCGACACTCGTGGGCCCCAAGCACGCAGCGACCCCCGAGCAACACTCCAGCTGCCCACTGCTAGAGACTGCTGGGGCCTCTCCCTACCAGGCAGGAACAACACACTTTGTGTTGTTTTTCAGCGCAGTATTCTGGAAGAAGGGGGAAAACTGAGGGGGAAAATAAACGGACGGAGCATGCAGACTCGCGTGCCCTAAAAAAGGGTACCCGGGCTGCACGTACGTTGTTCAGCAAGGCCTCAGAGCTATCGTCGCCACGGGACAATACAGCATGCTCTGTCCCATGGAGGCCACTCCTTCCTCCCTCGCCCTCGCGCGGTCCCCCCCCCTGTCCCAGGCGGGTCGCGAACGCCCTGCCTTGCCCCCCGCGCAACTTTCGGCAGTGCTGCTGGTGCACATCGCTCCGACGAGGACCGTCCACATATACAGAAATGCAACCAATCGAAAGCATGGTGGTCAAGCGGCGTCGACACCTGTCGACTGCCCATTGGCGCTGCCCTGTCGTCCACTCCGTCTCCAACGAAAGCACAGGATATACCGACTCTTTTCGGCAGGGATCCTGGCACAGCCTTGGCCTGAGCTGGCCACCTCCCCACACATCTGCACCAACCTCGCGCCAGCGGGTTGGTGTCTGTGTCGGGGCTTGTCCAAACCCTCGCATCTGCCAAGCACCACCTGCCGCCACAAACAAGAAGAGGCTGGATCCCCCCTTGTGTCGGAGCTTGCCCCAACCCTCAACTCTGCCACGCACCGCCTGCCGCCAGACACGATGGCCAGATCCCAGCGGTGGGCAGAGTGGGCACCTGGGAAAGAACTCGCCCCACGCCCGGGCGATTCTTTCCCCCCCGACGAACACGACCGCGGAGCACAAGCGCACGATGCCCGTCCAGGGGCATTCAGCTTTAGATCCGCTTCCTCTCATGGGCGGGGAAGCGAAAAAGTACCGATACCGCGGCGCGTCCTGACCGGAATTTCGAGGCGAATCCAGCGGTGGCGACGAGGGCCTCCCAGGAGGCTCAAAAGGCGAAAACGAGGGAAGTGCAGCGGTATGGTTACTTTTTCCTTCTCCGAAAGGGGGCTACAACCGCATCCAACGAAAGCGAGCTCGAGCATGAAAGCAATTGTTTTCCAGCCATCTGGAGCAGGCACACACTCGTTGCCGCGCGCTGCGGTGCCAGCTTGCTGCGCCCCCTGGAGCGGACAAGTCCTGCCCGCCAGCAGGGCGCCCACTATCACATCTGGTTCACACCAGCAAATTTGGACGCCCGACATGGGTACGGAAAAATGGGCACAATGCCCAACAGCAAATGTTGTCCCAAACCAACAGCGGTCGCTCTTGGGCAGGCGGCATCCTGTCTCGAATGGACACAGGCCGCGGCGGTACCGAATGCGAGTCCTGTTCAAAACGACGAGGAACTGCTGTTGGGCATTGTACCCATTCTTTCTGCACCCATTCCGGAACCACGATCGCACAGCAACACCCGAGTAACGGGGGATATGTCGACCACAACCCCAGGCGTTGCGAGGTTCTCGAATGGACCAAAAAATGTGGGCTCCAACCCTGGGGGGGTATACGATAGGGGGGCGTCCATCCTCGATAGGGGTGCGTCCGAGTGGCCCCCTCGGAGGTGCATCCCAGGGTTTCTCCCTCCTTTTCTGAGCGGCTTTGTTTTTCATCGACAAGTCAGGGGGGTGGGGGGGCGAAAAATCGCCCACGGGAATACAACCCGGGGGCGCGTTCTGCGCGCGAGGGCAAAGACGCCCGTCCCGGACTGGGGACCCGACCACATCAGAGTAAGCCCCTCCTGACCTCCCCAAACCGAAGCGTTTCAGCCGTTTCACATCTGCGCCTTATGCCGTGCAAATCATTCGCTCACAACCTTCTCTCTGGAAGTGGCATACCTGAATCGCAAACACATGTTCGAAACCAAACGGGTGCGTAAGCAAGTGTCGTTCCAGAAGTCTGCAGTAACAACTACGACAATACCTTTCAGAGCATTCGATCTATTCCGACTAACCACCCCACTACGTGCAAAGGATCGGCTGATGACCATGCAACCCCACCATCTCAGAAAGATCGTGATGCAATCTGGCGGCACGGTGGCGGCCATTGCCATCTCTCTGCTCGTCCAAGTACATATCATCAGGCCCTATCGGTGATGGAGCCTTCAGCACAGAAGGGGGGCTCATCGAGAAATTGACCTCACCCAAAACCACCGTCGTGTTCCTCAAGATTGGCATTCGCTGACTGCCGATCTGAACGAAATCTATCCATGGCCTGCGGGACGTTTGTGGCTGCAGTGCTTGATCCTGGTTACTCTCGGAACAAAAACTTACACATGCGCCTGGGACGATGAAAACGGCGACGGTGATGATGACGACGATGATGATGATGTTGATGATGCTGATGATGATGATAATGATGGTGGTGGTGGTGATGGTCACGGTGTGTGGCGGCGGCAAAGCGAACTGGAAACAGGATGCCTGTCAGTCATGCTGGCTATGGCAACGGCAATGGCGACGGTGAGTGCGACGCTGATGGCAGTGCTGATTGTA